CCATGGGAACGTGCAAACTGCCCTCTGATACTGTGGGGTAGAGAGGTGTGCAGGGAGCCCGATGGGCTTTGAGGTCTTCATGGGACAAAAGCTGAGTGGGACCTAAGAACCAAACTGCTCCTTGGGATGAGAGCCAAGGCCAAAAGATGGACAAAACTGTTTCCATAGAATGGAGAGTCAGGCCTTCTCCAATGAAGGGATGCTGCCTGGGCCCAGCTCCTCCTTTGCCCTCCCCCAAGGTCTTCCCAACACACCCTGAGCTCTGGCGCCCTAGTGGTTAGCAGTGAACCTCCCTAGTGGTTGGAGGGTGAAGCAGGGTTTTGCTGACTCAGCGCCCAGCTTAAACACCCCTAGGGGTAGGCGTGGGAGGCTGTCTRGTGGGGCAATCCTCTGTGTGCAGAAGGGAATACTGTGCCAAGCAAATAAAAGTGCCAACACTTATTGGGCACAGGGCTAAGCACTTTGGGGCATCTTGCTTCCCAGCAGCCCACAAGGCAGATTCTGTTGTTATCTCCATTTAGCAGAGGGGAAAAGGGAGACCTTGAGCGGTTTGGTAGCCTGGTATCTCAGCTGAGAAAGGGTGGATGTGACCCTTGGCTGTTGGACTCAGCCTGTGCTCTGAACCTCAGCTCMATACCGTCCACAGGAGTCACATGTGAGGGCAGGGGGCATGACTGATCACCATGGAGCTGCGCTAACAGGGGAGACTGAGGCACAGCCCTGCTCCTGTGGGGGTCCTGGTGGCAGGTGAAGGCCATGTGGAGGAGGTCAGCTAGGGGCTGTGAAAACCCTGAGAGAGACGACTTCACAGAAAAGCTGAAGTAGCTGTGTTGAAATGCTACCGGGACATGAAAAGGCAAACACAAGACTCACGGGCCACCACGTTTGAAGCACTAAGAGAAAGAACAGCTCCCAGGGATAGGGAAACAAAAAAGCCAAAGGATCCTAGAAAGAAAGAAAATCTGCTGCCTGGTGCCTCTGCTGACCTCATGGAGCCAGAAAAAAAGCCCAAGTGAAAGGAACAGTCACTGCTCRCTTGGTTGGTGGTAGAGAAAAGGACCAGTGCCCATGGAGCCCGCTGAATCACCATGCATCCRGGACTCCTGCCCTCCCTTTCCAAACTGAAGAAGGAAATCTCATTCCGGGGGAGCCAGGCAGGGCCTGTTTAACAGCCATATGGCCCTGATGTTCCCCTTTCCTCTAGTATACTCAAGAGAATGAGGGGAGAGGGAGGCCAGAAGGCTTGCCTGGGCTTAGACTCCTGACCTCAGCTTGGACTTGACATTGCTCCACCTTGGCCAAGTTGGCCCTCAGTTCTCCACCTGGGCACAGAGAGCCAGATGGGCTTTGAGATCCTCATGGGACTGAAGCTGAGTGGGAAGACATGTGAGTTACTTTCCAAAGGGAAGAACACTCAGCACGTCAGAGGCAGGACCAAAGTAGGGGAGGCTCCATTCCTCTAGCCTCACCGGGCAGCAGGGGGATCTCCAGGGGCTGGTGATTGAGCCATACCACTGTCTCCACATCTCACCTCCATGCTGGAGGAGGAAGATTGGCTTGAGGAGGTAACAGCGCCCAGCCCCTCCAGGCCCTGGGTGAGCAGAGGACCCCAGTCTGCTATAGGTGGCCTTGTGAACTGATCCCCTCGCCCCCAGCTCCTCCCTACCTTCTACTTTGCAGAGCACAGAAGTTGTACAGCAGCCTGGAAACGCTGATGGCTTAACTGGTTTAATTTTTTTCCCCAGCAGCCCTGAGGGGTTTTAACTCTTTCCTCCTGCAGAAACCCAGCTTTTGGAGTTGAATGTTTAAACTCTCACTGGGAGACTCATAAATATTCGGAGTCACTCTCTCCCTCTCTGTTTGATTAGGAAATGAGCCTTTAACTCAATGTAATCCCCAAGCCATTAACAAAAAAGCCCTCAACAGTTCCACTATTAGAATTTCACTCTTAACCCGCTGAGGATTGAATTAGATTAACATAACTACCCACAATCTGAGTTTATTTTCTGTGCCAGATAGAAATGTGTTTTCAGGAAAGGCGAGAAGGGGGAGGGAAGGGAGGAGGGAGAGAAAAGGGGGGAGGATAATGAAATGTAAAAATAGAGATAAGAAAAAGATGGACAGATATACGGTAGTGCAGTGATAGGAAGAGGTGCACCATGGTCTATGGTTTAAAAATCCTGCCAGCTGCCATTTTTTATTTATGGGATATTTGGAGAGACCTCAGCTATGTAAAATCGTTTGAATTAGGGAAGCACTTTCCAGGTATTTGCAATTCCTTCCTCCTGGAGATTGATGGTCCTACACCTGAGCTAGCTGTGTTCCAAAGCACCTGCTCATTGCCCCCCCCCCCCCACCGTCCCCAATTTGGGAGGAGGTCAGAATTGGATGCCTGTGTGCTCCAGGATGGGAGGCCGCATCAAACGATAGGGCGATAGGGCGTGCTCACAGGCAACTACTCGCTTCCAGCCACAGAGATAAACAATGACAAGGAAGGAATGGGTTAGATTCGGCAGACATGAAGTCACAGACGGCCCCGTGACCAATTGTATTTAAGAAATCAGTTTGCAAAAAAATGAGTTTGATGGGAGCTCAGACCACATAAAATTAATCGTTATTGAAGCAGAAAGTAAGTAATCAGAGGCTGCCTTATGCAAATGCACCCAAGTTCCCCCCAACTGCATCTCTATAACTAAGCCACATCTGGAACCTGAGGATGAAAGCCAGGGCCCCCAGCACTCTACCAAACAAGCCCTCAGCCCCTCAAAAGCAACCACTAATCGCCCGGGGGAGGGGCACTTCTCACCTAAGTGTTCCAACAAATATTCTTCTCTGCACAGTGTTAATGCTAACGAGAGCACAGGATTCGTTCAGGAATGCAGGACTCTCCCCCACTGCACTCAACCAGGCACTGGGGCCAGCCAGGCCCTAGGGTGCATGCTGAGGAGGAGAAGGAAGGACCTGCTCTTGTGCCAAAAGGTTCAAAAAGTTCCACACTTTCTCTGAGCCTCTGAGACTTTAAAGACCTGGAAGTTCAGCTTTGCACACAGTGGCCCACTCTGATTTGAGTGAAGTGTCTTGATCACTTGATTCACATGAACTTTAATTAACAATCATCCACCAGCTCCCACTCCTGCATTGTTGTGGGAAAACCTTAGCAGGATGCTTCTATCAAAACAGTCCTTGCAACAGGAGAATTAATAATCCTACATGTATAATTCACTTAGCTCTCTTTTTTTCTTCTTCTGGATTTCATGGACTTTAGTTTCCCAAATAGGTCTTAAATAGTGACATTTACCACCCCTACACACACACACACACACACCAAACTCATTCTGGATTTCTCCACTGATGAACGTGTCCTTACTACCTGGACACATAAAGTTCATCTTCTAATTTCTCTTTGCTTCCTGACCTGCTTTCCACTCTCCAAAATAATAAACAAAGGGATTAAATACATTAATAACTCTAAATAAGATGCAGGTGAAAAATAAAGAACCAAAAAAAGGAAAGTTTAAGATTTCATAACCATCAAAATAAAAACGAGATCAAATTGCCTCTCTGGATGTGTGCGCAGGCTTGTGTTAACTTTCATCAACTCTTTTGCTAAAAAAAAAAAAAAAAAAAAAAAACAAACTATTTTGTTTGTAATCCAAAACAATTTAGACTTATTTGCTTTGTTTAATGCTTTAAATTTGTTGGAAAGATCATTTCTTTGTTAGGATATTGTTTATGGGAACAAATCAAGAAGTCGTCTTCTGCAAGATAACATCTGGTAACCACTGTACAAGTGAATAGAAACCATGACAAAATGATATACACTTTTAAAGTTGTGCAAAGTATATGTTAAATATCATCACATAATCCTTCTCCCCAAATTTAGGACTACTGTTGCATAACTGCTATATAGCAAATCTCCCCAAATCTCCCCAATGCAGCATTGGGGTTCATACTATCTATTATCCAGAAAACTAACATCCCACCACTGGACGCTCATGACAGGTAGGCCCTGTGCACACTGGACAGTGGCTAAACTGGGGCGGGGGCATCTCCAGAGCCACCTGATGTGCACACACTGTTGGATTGTCTGAAACAAGCCCGGCTTTGACAAGAATCTTAATATTAAGTTTCTCCTTTGGTGAAACATGTAGAGTGATACCCTCTGCACCTCTCCACACCTGGCTCCTTCCTTTCTGACACTCTTCCTCCCCCACCCAAGTTCCCCTTTCAGGATTAAGAAAATGCCTCCAGTAAGTGAGCCAGCTGAAGCCTGCAAGGCAAGACAGCTCCTCAGCTCTCATCTCAGAATTCTCAAAGCAAACTTGCTCCATGGAGGGAAAAGAAGTCGCTTCCCTTTGAGGCGCGATAGAAAAGCTAATCATTGGGGCTGTCTCAACTCTTGCTGTCCGTGAAAGCTGCAGGGTGAGCCCAAATCTGTGGGACCCTTCCATCAGCACCTGTCCCTGGGAAGTGGGTCTTCCCCCTCTGTCACCTTCCGCAGCTCACTAGTCACCTTCCCCATCTCACCAAATGCTGGAGCTGCCAGCAAATCAAAGTTTTCACGCTGGGAGACATAACCACCCTGCTGAGCCGCGTGTAAACTTTGCCTTGCCCTTTTGATTTACTTACTTTTCCTTTACAAAAACAAATAAAAACAAACAAACGGGACCTACTGATTCTGAATGAGTTGGTGTAACCCACGGTGCCATTCCCGAGACCCTCTGACCTTCCCATGACAGGCTGTGGGAGGCGACGTTTTCCCTCGGCCATGCGGGGATGCTTTCGTGTGCAGAAAACCAGGATGAAAAAGCAGGCGTGGGAGATATTTTTATCCATTAGAGAGGGAGAGAGAGAGAGAGAGAGAGAGAGAGAGAGAGAGAGAGAGAGAGAGAGAGAGAGAGAGAGAGAGAGAGAGAGAGAGAAGGAGGCTGTGTAGGGAGAAGGACAGGGAGGTCCAGGGCAGTCTGGGCAGGACCAGAGGGAGAAGTTCGGTGACTTACATGCTAGCGCTGGCGTGGGGCACGGGGCTGCTGTGGAACGGTCACTCTCAGGTGTTTCCAGTGGCTGATGACTCGTTGTTCGGCTCCTCCGGCACCAGCTGACAGTCCCCTGTCTGTGTCTCTTTGTGACTAAGGACACAGTACTCCCAACCTATAAATAGATCTCAACTCCGTGATTGATATAACAGGCAGCTGACAAAAAAAAAAAAAAAAAAAAAAATCCCACAACCATAACCAGGTCTCAAACAAAACAGCCAAACGATCTGGACTTCCAAACCTACCGAGCCCCATGCAGATGCCTTGGAATCCGGTGGGCACAGGAAAGCAGGGAGGACATATATCATCAAGCGGGGAGGAACAGGGAAGGGCAAGTATGGTGGGGGAGATGATGACCTCTCTAGGTGCAGCCTTCACTTGGGGTCACTGGGAGTTGGTGAGTGACAGCCATCAGAGACCCAGGGGAGGAGCCAGGGCAGGAGGTCCTGACCCCCGGAAGGAGAGGTCTCCCTGGATCCTGAGCCCCTGGCCCAGTCAAGGCCAGAGTCTAAGTTCTGACTCGGGAGTTCAGATCAAGTGCTTTCCACGAAAGTTTCCACTCCTCCTGCCAGATCAGGAGGGGGAGGGAGCAGAGCTCTCCCAGCTGGGGCAGGGGGGCGGGTGCGGAAGGGCTTCTTGGGGGACAGGCAGAAGGCTCCTGCAGGGTGAGAAGGATGTGCAGGTGAGGGCACGCAGAGGCTGGAGTCCTCTGCCTGGTGGGACAGGGTCTTTGAAAAGTCCAGATGGCATTCCTAGTAGAACTATCTGCCGTTGAAAGGCCTTGGGGGTGTTAGGGGCTCTGCTTTTTCCAGAAAGATCTCCTAGGAGACCAAACTCTCTGGAAAGGTTTCTTCTTTTGGAAAATAGCCCCCATGTTTGAGATACTAAAGGGTCTCTCAGAAGCCAGTTTCTGCAAAGTTGGCACAGCCTCCTAGGGACAGGCCAGCCAGGGGCAAAGTTTTAGAGGATGAGAGTTATGAGGAAAGAACCAGAGGAGCACCCATCATGTCAGGGGACTGACCCGATGTTCAACCCTACGGGGTCATCTGCCTTGATTTTCCTCAGTTAAGCAGGATTTCAGTTGAGATTCCCTTTAAGAGGGGTCATAGAGCTCACACCAGCCCCTTACTGGTGTGGAAGGGACAGGAACTTTAGAATTCCTAAAACTTCCCCAGTGCTAATTTTTTAAAAACTAAGTGGGGAAAAAAAGAAATTTTAAAAAATGAAGTGGAACCCCCTCTTTATGTTAGATCTTCTCCCATGCTCCTCAGGTGGACAGGAACCATGAAGATGATGGTCCCCAGGTTGTTGGAGACTGCTTTATAGTAGGACATCAAATATTCCCACCAAAGCTGGCCCCTGGAACAAAACCTTCACCAGGCTAAAGACCATGCTTTTCTTATCCACCATTGTGCACAGAGCTACCTTGATTCCTGGCACATGGTGAGACCTTCATAAGTGTGCACTGAGTGGGTGAGTGATGCCCAAGACACCACCATTCGAGCCACACTTTTGGACTAAGAGCCTCTCAAGAAACGTGTTTTCTGAGGAAGATGGAGAACTGGGAGTGGGACTTCAGGCCCAGGGAGTCTGACGGGCCCATCACCACCTGTCCATAGTACTGAGAACCAGGGTGCTCCGAGTACCAGGCCAGCRTGACCAGTGGCCACCAAGCACTCCCCTCTAACCAGGCCTGACCACACACAGAGCTGCTGGAAAGGCAGATGCACCTGCAGAGGCAAGGCCAGAGAGGGACTTGGGCGCTGAGGACTGGGGTCACCCACTGGCACACACCTGCCATCAGGCTCCTTGCAGGAGGCAGATCTCTTCTGATGCAGATGGAGCCTTCTCTTCTTTATCTGCTTTCTCCTCAAATTCTCCAGCTGTCCTACTTGACCCCTCACTGATTTCCGGCACAAGTCCTGTGAGGGTGTCTCTGTGGCCTTGGCCTCTCGGGGGGCTTCTCCAGCCACTAGTCCAGAGCCTTGTCAGTCTGTGGGTGCCTGGGTTGAGTTCAGGGCTTTCTGGCGGCACTGCTGCGGAAAGCCCCTGTGGGACCTTAGTTTCTCTTTTTATCCCCAGCCCATCCTCTGAATCTGCCCACGGTCTCAGTCCTGACTCTCCAGACTACACCAAGCCCTGGAGTTGGCCCCCTCTAAACTGCCCCAGGAGGGGACCAGCAGGTGCCTGTCCCATCACAGCTGAAGTGCTAGTCATCCCTTTGGGGACCACAGGCCTTTGCTTTCAGAAGGCTCTTAGTGGCCTCACTTCCTCATCTTAAGTCTCTTCCACTTCAAGGGTGAGCCCCACCTCATCCCTGGGCCACTCGGAGTGGACAGTCATACAGACTCACACCGCTGAGACCCTGACTTGGTGGGTAAGGCACCGTCTCTGGGCGAGACTCCCAGGGTTGACATCTGGTCAAACCCTGGCATTCTTGATTCTTGCTGCTTCACTTTTCTCATCTGCAACTGGGAATTTTAAGGATAGACCTCCTTAAATTGCCATGAGGACAAATGAGTCAACACTAGAACAGCGCCTGACACAGGCAGTATCCTCTGTAGATGCTCCGGGTATCCACATAGCCCCACRGGCACCCCTTCGGTCATTCTGGAGGGGCCTCTGCCCACCTTCACCACCTCTCTCCAGCTTGCTCTGGTTCTTCTCTGAAAGCTACAAGCAGGACAGGCAGGGCAAGGAGCTGACGGTGACAGGTTGCACTGGCCTGCAAGCCTGACCAGAGGCCAGAGGTCAGAGGTCAGGAAGAAAAGACTATGTGGGGGACTTTCCAAGTTTTAATAGTGAGCCCAAAGGCAGGTAAAGAGAACAGGAAAACCCAGAAGATCCTAAGCAAAAAGCCAGGTTCTTATATGCTCCACCTCCCTCCACTACCCAGGCCTTTCACCCAGAGATAATATGCCCACCTGAGTCTCCTGGGACCCCACAATAGCTGAGAATTCCACCTTGAGTCTCCCTTTTTTTTTTAAAAGCCAGAATATGGCTTTTAAAACACATGATCCACATATCACTGCAACCCTGGTTACCTGCCCCTTGCTCCACGAGACAAGCTCCCCGTACCTCCTTCAAAGGTGTTCCAACTCCTGAGACTTCTTGAGTGCTCCCCAAATCTTGTGTTCTGTTTTTTTGAGTGTGCAATGTATTTTCACAACATAAGATTCATCATTTTAAAGCACACAGTTAGGGCTGGGGTGTGGCTCAAGTGGTAGTGCACTCACCTAGCATGTGCAAGGCACTGGGTTCGTTTCTCCGGCACCACATAAATGTAAAATAAAGATATTGTGTCCACCTAAAAAAACCTAAAAAAATAAATATTAAAAAAAATAAAAATAAAGCACACAGTTAAGTGGTGGGAGTACCTTCCTGGTGTTATGTAATGGCTGCCCCATGTATCTAGTTCCAGAACACGTTCCTCTCCCATGGAAGAGCCCTCGTATACCTTAAGAAGTCACCTTCCAGGTTGGGTTTGTAGCTCAGAGGTAGAGTGCTTGCCTTGCACGTGTGAGGTACTGGGTTCAATCCTCAGCACCACATAAAAATAAATAAACAAAATAAAGGCATTGTGTCCGTTTACAACTAAAAAAAAAAGTCACCTTCCATCTCCCCATGCGTTAGTCTGTGAGGACCACTATTAACACAGTGCCCCAACCTGAGTGGCTTTACATGAGAAATTGACTTCTCTTTAACATATGCCATCGTCTGGCAACCACTGTTCTCTCTGCGGATTTGCCTTGTCTGAATATTTCATATAAACAGAATCGTGCTGTATGCAGCCCCCTCCTAAGCTCTGAACCCTATGTGTCTATTTTGAAGAGAAGAAGGCTGACCATCTGGCAGCCCTTTCTGGTCCTGTGGTCTAGCAGCTCTCTGTCTACCTCTGCCTCAATTCTTGCCCCTTACATCTCGGGATGAACCTCCTGGCCTTGAAATCCCATGACTTACGCACACCCGCTACACAGGAGTTGCTTTGTGTGGGTTTCCTTATTATATCCTCCACGGGAGGGACAATTATACCCTGTATTAGTTGCAAGGGCTGCATAATGAAGTGCCCCAAACTGTACAGTTTAGAACAACAGAAACGTACTGGCTTACAGTTCTGAAAGCTGCAAGTCCAAGATCAAAGTGACAGCAGGGTGGGTTCCTTCTGGGGTGGTGAGGGGGCATCTGTCCCTGCCTCTTCCCTAGCTTCTGGTGGAGTGCTGGCCGTCTCTGGTGTTCTTTGTGGTGCAGTTTCAAGCTGCATGAGCCCCGTGTGTCTTTCTCTGTGTCTGAATTTCCCCTTGTTATAAGGACATCAGTGCTAAGACTTCATTTTTACTCTATCATCAGCAAAGACCCTGTTTCCAAATAAAGGCACAGCCACAAGTATTGGGAGTTCAGACTTCAACTCTTCATCTTCTTGAGGGGGAATGCAGCCCATAACACCTTCTTTTACAGTGGAAGCAGGGAAGTCCAGGATGTCTTGCAGCTGGTATGAGACAGAGTTTGAGTTTGTGTCCCCATACAGAAAAGACATGGGCAGACAGAGGTGGGTCCCTGACGGCTCCATATGAGGGCCCCTCCCCTGGCTCAGCACCACCAGACTCTGTTCGGCACATCAAGGTGACTTTACACTGTTTACAAGGGCCACTAAAGATACAGCCGTTCAGGTCCCGGTTGTCTTATCAACTCATTTACCTTTCAGAGCTCCCTGCCAGGCAGGAGGGAGGACTGGGCGGGGACCACAGCCCAGGCAGGGCCTGCATTTGCTTTATCTGAAAAGAAAATCTCTCTGCTGGGGGACAGACCTAAAGACAACACGGTGGCGCAGCTAAGCCATTAATCATCTCCTGCTGGGACACGGGGGACTGGAAGTGGCCATCATGGGCACCCTGGTTTTAAACACAAGGGCAAGGTTGAGCTAGGGACGTGGCGGGCCTCCTCCTTTCCAGAGGGCACCTACAGACATGGCAGTTGGTAGGTCACCCTGAGAGGAGGTATTTCCCCCAAAGCAAATGCCTGCTTCCTGGTGGAGGCAGGACATCTTGACCAGAAGCCCCACTGGCCAGGAACTCACCAGGCCCAGCAGATTGATACCTGCCTACGACCCCTTTGGGGATGCCACGACCTTAGAGGAAAGGGAGGTGCCAGAATGGAGGCTCAGAGAATGACCTAACACATGGCCATGTCAACAAATCAGAGGTCCCCAGACCCAGGTTTTCTCTCCCCAGCTTCTTACACCTCCTTATTTCGCAAAAGCCAGCCTGCTGCCCAAGCAGCCAATGAAGCATTCCATAAGCACACTGTCCTGGCTGGGGGCCTGCCCTC